TAGAAGAGCTTCAGAAGTTCTTCTAGCCATAGAAGAGCTTCAAAAGGTCTTCTAGCCATAGAGGAGCTTCAGAAGGTCTTCTAGCCATAAAAGTGCTTCAGGAGGTCTTCAGGCATAGAAGTGCTTCAGAAGGTGTTCTAGCCATGAAAGTACTTCAGAAGGTCTTCTAGGCATAGAAGAGCTTCAGAAAGTCTTCTGGAAATAGAAGAGCTTCATAAGGTCTTCTAGGCATAGAAGAGCTTCAGAAGTTCTTCTAGCCATAGAAGAGTTTCAGAAGGTTTTCTAGCCATTGAATAGCTTCAGAAGATCTGCTAGCCATAAAAGATCTTCAGAAGGTCTTCAGGCATAGAAGTGCTTCAGAAGGTGTTCTAGCCATGAAAGTGCTTCAGAAGGTCTTCTAGGCATAGAAGAGCTTCAGAAGGTCTTCCACACATAGAAGAGCTTCCGTAGGTCTTCCACAAATAGAAGAGCTTCAGTAGGACTTCCACACATAGAAGAGCTTCAGAAGTCTTCTAGCCATAGAATGTCTTCTAGCATTAGAACAATTTCATAATCTCTTCTTAGGCTGAAATAACCAAATAAGAGGGATCATCCATTCATAGATGACAGTGATGCCAACTTTGAAGACCACAAAACCCGCTAAGTTGTAGATTATGAGAAGGCTCCATTAAAATCGAAAGAATATATACTTCTCGAACCCAAAACTACTTCAAATTAGTACTCTGAGATTAGCATTAGGCTGTTATGGATTAGTGATGCTAACATTGTGAAAGAAAGAAAAATCGCTAATTTTTATAAACACCCTAAAGCCTTTATAAACGCCCCCAGAACACAAAGATAGCATGAAAGGTTGCATTAACACGGTTGTATATCCTTTGTTCATGGCAGTGATGCCAACTTTGAACTCCAAAAAATCGCTGGTTTGATCAAATTCTGAAGAAATTCCCCACTCTGTGTGTGCTAGGAGAGTAAATGACTATCAGATCCAGAAGACTTGATGTAGATACTTTCAGCTTAAAAGTAGCTAATGTTCGACCAGTGATGCTAACATTGCAAAACTAAAAAATCGCCAAATTTAAAATTAAACAAATTAAGCCCGTACTTACGGGAACGATAAAGAAACTTCGGGGTTAAATTGTAGATCAGTGATGCTAACATTGTAAAACCGGAAAAATCGCCAAATTGGAAAGTACCCAAAACAACCCCACCTGTCGATTTTTTGCTTAAATTTGTGTCTTCAGAATATTTAACAGATTCGAAACAAATACAACAAACGGCATGCGGTAGTTTAGAGCCAGTGAGGCTAACACTTTAGAACAAAAAAATCGCCAAATTTAAAAGCGCCCAAAATAACATCATCCCATTTCGAATAAAGATGGAATTCCTGGGTTAAATTAAAGATCAGTGATGCTAACATGGTAAAACTAAAAAATCGCCAAATTGAAAACTAACCCAAGCTTTGATTTTTTGCTTGTATTTGTGTTTTCAAGATATTTAATGAAGTGGAAACAACACCAACACGCGTCTTTCGGCCATTTAGGACCAGCGGGGCTAACATTGTAGGACAAAACAAAATCGCCAAATTGAAGATTAATCCAACTTAATCCGCTTTTACTTGAATGATGAAGGAACTGTGGGTTGAATTTTAGATCAGTGATACTAACATTGTAAAACTAGAAAAATCGCCAAATTGACAAAGTACCTAAAATGACCCATAGCTGACTTAAACGATTTATTCCTTGTATATGTGTTTTCAGGATATGTTTAGCAAACGGAAACAAAGGCAATAAGGTCGTCCGTCCTTTGTTTATTTTTTTTTTACTTTTTTTTTTGCATGCTTTTGTATTTTTTGTTATTGTTTTTTTTTTTGGTTTGACTTCAACACCGTTAGACTTCCATTGTAGTATTTAGCTGGCGATAATGCATCAGCAATTTTTGTTTAAATGTTTTGTTATCCTCAGGCCATTGTCTGAGTGAGTGTTTGTGTGTTTGAACCTTTGTATCGACGTTTTAGCTCGTGCTAAATGCCAAACAATAGACATTTTAGTCACATTAGTTAGTTGCCAATACTAAACGTGGATCACACACACACATGCACACACCCATATATAATTAGCATGTCGGCTCTGACCAGTTGGTTGGTTGGCTGGCTGTTTGTTTGGCCAAGTCATGCCATATTATCGCTATAGCCTTAAAACAAAACGAAACAAAACGTTTGGCAAGGATGAGGTCAGCATAAATTTTCGTATGAATTGCAGATGTTATGAGAGGACAGAAAAAAACAGCTGCCGAATTTTGACTACCGATTTTGGTGGTCCTTCCTTTAGAGAAATTATAATTTTTCGGTGGTTTAAGAAATTTGGGAGAACAGTGGGGGACTATTTCGGGAGGAACATTTTAATTTTTTAAAATCCTGAACCATTTGAGTTCAATGATTTGCAAATCATTGAGGTGAAGTAAAAGAGAGCCTTCAATGGAATAGAATTTCCAAGGTGTCTATAAATGAGATTTAAAAAAATATTGACCTCTTTGTGTGGGAGGTACCAGAAGAAATGAACTGATCTCTGCCATTTTTACAGCATATCCTTTATTAGTAAAAATATTGTAATGTGTGAAATTTGAAGAGAATCGAATGCTTATTTTGCATTTTATAAGCGTTTTGGTTATTCAAAAATTTTATCCTATTGTGGGGGAGGTATCAGAAGGCTTGGACCGATATATCCCAACTTCACATCAGATCTTGCGTTAGTAAAAATATTAGGATGTGTGAAATTTTAAGAGAATCGGATGCTTATTTAACTTTTTATAAGAGATATAATTATTTAAAATGTTTACCGCTTTGTGGGGGAGGTACCACAAGGAGTGAACCCATATATCCCATCTTTACAGAACATTTTGTACTGGAAAAGGTATTGGGATGCGTAAAATTTGAAGAGAATCGCATGCTTATTTTGCATTGTATTAGCGTTTTGGTTTTTCAAAATTTTGAACCCTTTGTGGGGGAGGTACCAGAAGGAGTGAACCCATATATCCCATCTTCACAACAGATCTTGCGTTTTTAGAAGTATGGAGATGTACGAAATTTAAAGACAATCGGATTCTTATTTCACTTTTTGTATGAATTATAATTATTCTAAATTTTGACCCCTTTGTGGGGGAGGTAGCCGAAGGGATGCTTCAAAATATTCCATCTTTCTACCAGATTATGTGCGGATAAAAAAATTAGGATGTGTGAAATTTGGTGAGAATCGGTTGCTTATTTAGCATATTATGAGCGTTTTGGTTTTTCAAAATTTTGAACCCTTTATGGGGGAGGTACCAAAGGAAATGGTCCAAAATATTCCATCTTCGCAACAGACTATATGCTGGAAAAAATATTGAGCTGTGTGAAATTTGAAGAGAGTTGGATGATTATTCCGTATTTTATGAGCCTTTTTGGTTATTTAAAATATTTACCTATTTGTGGGGGAGGTACCGGAAGGAGTGGTCCAATATTTCCCATCTTCACACCAAATCTTCTGTTAATAAAAGCATTGTGATGTGTGAAGTTTAGAATGAATCGGTTGATTAGTTTATATTTAATGAAAGATATAATTATTCAAAATTTTGATCCCTTTGTGGGGGAGGTACCACAAGGAGTGGGCGGATATGTCCCTTCTATACATTGGATCTTGTGTTGATAGAAATATTGAGATGTAGGAAATTTTAAGACAATTGGACTCTTTTTTACGTTTTATATGAAATATAATTATTCCAAATTTTGACCCTTTGTGGGGGAGGTTCTTCATAGAGTGGGCCGATCTTGTCCATTTTTCTCCCTGACATAGCCTTGTTAAAAATATTTGGATTTCCAAAGTTTAAAAAAAATTGGATAATCCTTTCTAGGTCTATAAGCTAAATTATTTTCTGTGAAAATATTGACCTTTTGTGGGGGAGGTACCTGAAGGAGTGGGCCCATGTTGCCCATCTCCGAACTCGATCTAAGTTTGATAATAATTTTACGATGTACCAAGTTTGGACGAATTCGGATACTCCCTTTGAGAGTTATCGTACGCCTTTGTCAGACGGACGAACGGAAAACACCTTTAGATCGTCTCCAAATGCCCTGAAACGGGTTTGCTCCAAAGAGACCTGAGTTATAAACCCCTTATTTCAATGAGGCCCGTTTAGTCAGTATCAAATGTAACATCTGTAGCCATTTGGCTGAGGATATAACAAAAAACCATTTGTTTGAACTGCCACCCAACTTGGTTTTTCGACTCTCATCCAATGGCTTCTTTTTCGTCAGCTAAACCTTGTCTGTACCGAGTCTTGATAGCTAGCCTCTCTCTGTGTTGCTTCTTTCCCCACTCACATTTGGGTGTTAATATATTCCACAAATAGAGTGTGGAAATGAAATTTTCTATTTCAAATTTCCCACTCCCCATTGCAGCTTACCCCATCCCATTCACTCTCCTCTCCCCTCCCCACTCCCCACCCCATCTCTGACACTCTCTGTCAATGACAATGTGCATTTATTTATTGTAGTTCGCTGCAGTCTATGTGGATTTATTTTCGTATGTGTGTCACGTTGAAATGCATAAATAATTGACGGAGACGGAGAGAGGTGGAGATGAACGAGAAGACGACCGATTTTGTTTATAATTCCCAGGCCTATTAACATTTTTTTTAATGTTTGACTGGCGGACATCGAACAGTTTTTCAAACGTCTTGGGTTTGGGTTTTTTCATTTGGGTGGCGATGATGACGATGATCATCATCATCAGCGGTATTAGAAATGTCTTTAAAAACTCATCAATAAACAATGACAACTACAGCAACAAAATAAATAAACAACAACAACATCGAACGATTTGTTGTTTTCGTTGTTGTTGTTGTCAACAAACTGTTACCGAAATTTTGGGGAAAAAATTGACAAATTTAAGACTTTACTTTTATTTATGACGCTTTTCTCTGAACGTTTAGTTTAAAAAACAAGAGACAAATGGGAGAGAACTTACGTGTTTGTGAGATATCTGTCACTGAGACTGTTCCTTCGGCGGCTAAATATATGGCTTTGTTGTGTGCACACTGTGACATTATTACATAATCTTCTACTGTACATAATGCACCCGAAATCACCACCTGGAAAGGAAAAAAAGAGAGAGAAAAAATTAAATACATTATTGAAAAAAAAAAAGGTTTCCCTTAATTATTACACACCCCCTCGTAGAGGGTAAAATTTTTTACAGCCCTTTAATAAATTTATTTCAAATTGAGGAATAGAGAAAAACTAATTTAATACATTTTTTGAAAAATGTTTCCCATAATTATTAACCTTCCCTCGTATAGGGAAAAATTTATTATGTTCCTTTAACAAATTTATTTCCAATTGAGAAAGAGACAAAAAATTAATTAAATATTTTTTTTTGAAAAAATGTTTCCCTTAATTAATACGCCCTCCCCTCGTAGAGGGGTGTATAATTCATTAAAGCCTTTTAACAAATTTATTTCAAATTTCGAAAGAGAGGAAAAATAAATTGAGAAAAAGAGAGAAAAAAAATAAATTAAATACATTATTTAAAAAAAAAAGTTTCCCTTAATTATTACACCCTCCCTCGTAGAGGGCATAATTCATTAGAGCCCTTTAACAAATTTATTTCAAATTGAGAAAGAGAAAAAAAATAATTTTTTTTTGAAATATTTCCCTTAATTATTACACCCTCCCTCGTAGAGGATATAATTCATCACAGTCATTTAAAAAAAAATGTTCAAATTGAGAAAGAGAAAAAAAATATTTTTTTTGAAAAATATTTCCCTTAATTATTACACCCTCCCTCGTAGAGTGTATAATTCATTGGAGCCCCTTTACAAATTTATTTCAAATTGAGAAAGAGAGGAAAAATAAATTAATTACATTATTTTGAAAAAAAAAAAAAAAAAAAAACATTTTCCTTAATTATTACGCCCTCGCCTCGTAAAGAGCATAATTCATTAGAGCCCCTTAACAAGAGAGAGAGAGAAAATAAGTCAAAAAAATAATTTTTAAAAATATTTTTTTTTATTAGAGACCTTTACCAAATTTATTTCAAATTGAGAAAGAGAAAAAAAAATATTTTTTTTAAAAAAAAATTCCCTTAATTATTACACCGTCCCCTCGTAGAGTAGAGGGTATAATTCCTTAGAGCCCTTTAATATATTTATTTCAAATTGAAAAAGAGAGAAAAAAATTAAAAAATGTTCTTGAAAAATATTTCCCTTAATTATTACACCCTCCCTCGTAGAGGGTATAATTCATTAGAGCCATTTAAAAAAATAATTTCAAATTGAGAAAGAGAAAAAAAAAAATATAATTTTTTTTTAAAAAATGTTTCCCTTAATTATTGCACTCTCCCTCGTAGAGGCCGTTATTCATTGGAGCCCCTTTACAAATTTATTTCAAATTGAGAAAAAAAGAAATAAAATTAAATACATTATTTTGAAAAATATTTCCCTTAATTATTACACCCTCCCCTCGTAGAGGGTATAATTCATTAGAGCCCTTTAACAAATTTATTTCAAATTGAGAAGAAGAGAGAAAAAAATAAATTAAATGCATTATTTTTAAAAAGTATTTCCCTTAATTATTGCACCCTCCCTCGTAGAGGGCATAATTCATTAGAGCCCTTTAACAAATATATTTCAAATTTAGAAAAAGAGAGAAAATAATAAATATTTTTTTTTTTAAATGTTTCCCTTAATTATTGCACCCTCCCTCGTATAGGTCATAATTCATTAGAGAGAGAGAGTCTTTAACCTTTACAATTTTATTTCAAATTGAGGAAGAGAGAGAAAAAATAAATTAAATACATTATTCTAAAAAAAAAAATCCTTAATTATTACACCCTCCCTCGTAGAGGGTATAATTCATTAGAACCCTTTAACAAATTTATTTCAAATTACCGCTATTTAATGGCAAAAGTTTCAAGAGCTCCCATGCGCAAAAGCCGGTGGGGGCTGCCAATTAAAACTTTCAATGGCAAGGCAAGCAACAAATTTGAGCAACAAAAGTTATTAAATTTTATGACTTTTTCGCAACAAAAAAATTCTGAAACTTTGCCAACAATTTTTGCAAAATTGTGCAAACTTAGAGGATACTTCAGAAAATGTCAAGTGTTAAGGGGTAACGAGGTAGAGGAAATAATTAACAGGACATGCAGATGGGGCTGAACTATTTCCGGCGGATGAGCCTGAAGTCCAACAACTCGCTACGTTTTAAATCTATAAAACAGCTATGGGCTGCCCCGAACAAAAAAGTATTAACAAAGCACACGTTTTCTATCACGATTTTCATTTACCATTGATTGAGATAGAGAGAGAGAGTCTTTAACCAGGAGTACTTGAATGAATTATAGATGGGGATGAACTATTTCCGACGTATGAACCTGACGTCCAAGAAACCGCTAAGTTTATAGATTCTATAAAACTTCTATGAACAGCCTCGAACGAAAAAGTGTCAAAAAAGCAATATTCTCTCTTGATTTTCATTTACAATTGGTTGAGAGAGAGTCTCTAACTGGGAGTGCGTAAATGAATCATAGATGGGGATGAACAATTTCCGGCGGCTGAACCAGAAGTCTAAGAAACCGCTATGTTTTAGATTCTATAAAACAGCTTTGGGCAGCCTCGAACGAAAAAGTAACAACAAAGCATACGTATTCTCTCTCTTGATTTTCATTTACCATTGATTGATTCAGAGAGAGAGAGAGAGAGAGAGTCCCTTACCACTTAAGTGTGAGCAAGGCTGCTATAAAATCCCGTATTAAGTAAGGAGAGTAAATCTTTTCAAGACCCAAAACAATTTTACCTAATTGCTCTGAGATCACCATAAGGCTGCCATGGATTAGTGATGCTAACATTGCACAACTAAAAAACGCTGCTTTTTTTAAAAATCACTAAAATCTTTATTAAGTACCTTGAAACCTCATATATATGTGGAGGATAACCTTAATTAAGATTATATTTCCATTGTTTGGGCAGTGTTGTCAATTTTCAAGTTCAAAATAAAAATACGCTAATTTGATCAAATTTTCAAAAAATTCCCAACTCTGTAAATGATAGAAGAGTAAATGGCTACCAGAAGATGTGATATAATATTACTTCAAGTTCAGTATTAGCTAATGGTAGAACAGTGATGCTAACATTGCAAAACTAAAAAAACGCTGAATTTTAAAAAAAATCACTAAAATCTCTATTAAGTACCTAAACAAGCCATATAAATGGCAGATAATATTAAAAATATTATATTTCCATTGTTTGTGACACTGTTGTCAACTTTTAAGTTCAAAATAAACAACGTTAATTTGATTAAATTTTTAAAAAATTCACAACTCTGTGTATGATACAGAAGTGAATGGCTATCAGATCCAGAAGACTTAGTGTTTGTTCAATATTAGCTAATTTTAGAACAGTGATGCTAAGATTGTGAAAATAAAAAATCGCTAACATTTACAAATACCTAAAATCTCTATTAAATACCCAAAAAACCCCATATAAATGTTAGATAACCCTAAAATGATTATAATTCCATTGTTTATGGCAGTGTTGTCAACTTTCAAGTTCAAAAAACGCTTGTTTGATAAAATTCACAAGAAAGAAGACTAATTGGCTACCAGAAGACTTGATATAACTACTTCAAGTTCAATATTAGCTAATGTTAGAACAGTGATGCTAACATTGTCAAAATAAAAAACGCTTAATTTTGAAAATCACTAAAATCTCTATTAAATACCTAAAACCAAACTAAGTGGGCTGATGAATGTACTTTGAGATACATTTTTAATCAGTGATGCTAACATTGTAGGTTTAAAAAATCACTGAATTTAAAAGCAACCAAATTAAACCCGCCCATGCTGGAATGATGAGGCAACTCATGGTTTAAATTTTAGAACAGTATTGCTAACATGGTAAAGCTGCAAAAAACGCCAAATTGGAAGCTAGATCTTAAAAATCGCCAAATTTAAAAGTAACGAAACTAAATCCACCCTTGCTGGAATGATGAAGGAATTGCTATTTTAATTTTATATCAGTGTTGCTAACATGGTAAAACTAAAAGTAAAGAAATAGGCAAATTGGGAAGTACAATAACTGTCAAATTTCAAAGTAATCCAACAAAATACGCCATTACTAGAGTGATGAATATACTTTGAGATAAATTTTAAATAAGTGATGCTAATGTTTTAGATTTTAAAAATCGCAAAATTTAAAAGTAACGAAACTAAATCCACCTTTGTTGGAATGATGAAGGAAGACTGATTTTAGTTTTAGATCAGTGATGCTAAAATGATAAATCTGAAAAAAAAATCGCCAAATTGTAATGTACAAAAATCGTCAAAATTCAAAGTAATCCAACTTGATCCGCCATTACTGGAGTAACGAATTTACTTTAAGTTAAATTTTTAATCAGTGATGCTAACATGTTAACCTAAAAAAACGCCAAATTCAAAAGTAACCAAGTCAAAACCGCCTTCAATGGAATGATGAAGGAATTGTGGTTTTATTTTCCATCAGTGTTGCTAACATGGTAAAACTGCAAAAAAAAATCGCCAAAATGGAAAGTACTCAAAAACAATCCCATCAAACGACATTTGCTTGCATTTGTATTGGCGCAATGAAAGCAAAGCCAACAAATGAAGTTCGGCCATTTAGGGTCAGTGAGGCCAACATTGTAGGATAAAAAATCGTCAATTTTCGAAGTAGTCAAACTAAATCCGCCAATATGGAAGTGATGAATGTAATTTGAGTTAAATTTAAAATCAGTGCTGCTAACATTGTAAATCTAAAAAAATCGCTAAATTTAAAAATAACCAAAATAAAACCGCCCCTACTAGAATTATGAAGGAACTGTGGTTTTTATTTCCGATCAGTGTTGCTAACATGGTAAATTTGAAGATATCGCCAAAATGGAAAATTCTCAAAAACAATCCCATCAAACGGTTTTTGCTTGTATTTGTGTTGACGCAATGAAAGCAAAGTCAACAAATGGAGTTCGGCCAGTTAGGGTCAGTGAGGCCAACATTGTAGGATAAAAAATCGTCAAATGTTGAAGTAATAAAACTAAATCTGCCATTATTGAAGTGATGAATGTAATTTGAGTTAAATTTAAA